CAGTTTCACATCTCTTAGGCGGTCCTGACAAGTGCTGAGACAGACTCTGGAAGACATAGTTCCTTGGCTAAGAGCCAAGCACATCCATGGTCTTGGACTAGATGGTGATTTTACTTGATTGTGCTTTGTTCTTCTTCACCTCAACCCATCCCTCGGTGATCTCTCCTGGGAGGACTTCATTAATCGATCACTTAACCTCTGAGACCTTGGCTCGGCATCTGCTTTGGACACAACCCTTTGAGATGGGTTCAAAAGAAAAGCAGCTCTCTCTCCTGAATCAAGCCCTATTTCATCGGAAACAATCTAGAATAAAAGTAGATACTAGGATATCTAGAATTAAAAAAGGACTGGCCAAATAGCTCAGCGAATTAAAGTGCCTGCAAGCAGGCTCAGGAGCCCGGGGTTTCATCCCCGAGCCTGCCATGCCAGCCCCAGCCCCGGGGTGTGCTGAGAGGACAGTTGGACATGGCGGCGCACACCTATAATCCCAGCACTTGGGAGGCTGTAAAAAGGAGAATCACTACGAGTCCAATCTAGTAGTGAGATCCTGAACGCCCTGTAGGCCCTTCCCTAAAATACAGAAAAAATAAATAAATAAATAAATAAATAAATAAATAGCATGAAAAGAATAGATCTAGAATTTAAAAAAAAAAAAAAAACTAGATGCTCTTTTCTAGATGGTAGCTGAGAGAGACTTTAATCTCTACCTTGGACTTTAGGGAAAGAATACTGGCAATATTGAAGTATTTTATTTTTTTAGATTATTAAATATATGTCCTGGGGCTCCTGATAAAGGACATTTTTAGCAATGTGAATCCAGGGTTAATGGGGAAGGTCCTGAGAGGTGAAGGCTGTGCAGCCAGTGGGTGCGTGCTGTCTGTGCTCCGGATATACAGTGCTCGTGCATGTGTTAGCTCACGTTGTCCTGGCAGTCAACTGGTGAGGCTGGGAAAATTAAAGGTATGATTGTAAAGATGGGAGGACTGAGGCATGGAGCATTTGAGCTCTTTGCCGTAATCACACTGCGCATCAGTAGCTTGACCCCCTTCAGATAAAAGAATTCTCTAAGTATCTGGAAGATTTCAAGCCCCATTTTATAGCTTTGAAATAATTTGGGGTCATCACCTAAGAGTGAACACACACACACATGCACACACACTGCAGTTTAACACAGAAAACACTACTACTGGTACCATGGGTGTGACAAGGACAAGAGCATTGTCCCGAATGGAACAAAAAAGGGGAACATTTTCCTATTCTGTGTCCTATAGGATAGGGGTGAAGGTAAGGGATGTAATTCACTGTGGCCCAAGAACAAAACAGGCCTGACACTGCAGGGTGAGCCCCAGGAAGCATTTCAAAAGCTCTACTGGAACTAGACAACCTTTCAATCCATTTATCAAAGTGTCTGCAGTTCCCATTTCAAGGTAGATGAAGTAATAATAAATTTGTGAAGAAAGTTAATCTGTGTCCAAAGCATTTTAGTAAATTAAAAAGGCTGGGGGAGGGCTGGCTGGAAGGAGGGTGTAGCGGTTCTTGCCAACTCCTATTTGACTTACTGTCTCCTTAATCTGTCGTCTTTGGTCCTGTGTTTTTGGATGGAATAATCGGTCAGTTAATCATTTTCCGGAAGCTGGAAAATGCACTTTAGCTAATGCAGTTCTCCTTTTCTTTCAGAGTCCTAATTATTTAAAAAGGCTCCTTGATCCATAGCCCCACTTTCCAACCAAGAAAGCCTTCCCTACCAGTCATATTTATTTCCCCAGAGAAACCCTGCACATCTTGTACCCACTACCCCGGCCCTACTCCACCTTGTGCTTTTTTCCTGATGTTAAAAAATAAAGATCCCCCTCTCATCACTTTGGAGCCTTTCCACAGGGTGCTTTCCTGGTGAAAGGTAAGACAATAAAATTCTACCAAGCAATTGGCTGGACCTAGCCTCTTAGGCATCATGGATGGATTCTATTGTTTTTAAGTGTCAGCCGGACAGGGTGGTTCCTGTCTCTCTCAAGGATTGCACTTTACAATAGCTTCATGCTTGGGCATCATGCTGAAATAAACACAGTTGAGAACCTCACAAAGGCCCCAGGATAATGGTGAAGGGATGGTTACCAAAAACGAAGCACCGAGCCCTGAGCCCTCCTCCATACCCCATCAGTAACACCATTAATACTGTCAGTTTGTCAGCCCACTGGAGGTATTTATGAAATCAATATACAGTCCTGCAGAGGCACAGCAGTGGTATTGTTAGCCAGGGAAAAGGTGCTCACTGGAAAATAAAATTAATAAACTTTACAAGCAGACTGTCATGGGGAACAGATAAATTTCCTACAATCTACACTTTTACTCTATTAGGGTGAGAGAAAGCGATCACAAACAGACAGAAAGCAAACTGTGCCTTACACAGGCTCCTGAGAGCTAATCTAGGTACATTTACAGGAAGAATGAAGTGACCAGAAACCAACACACATACCCCATGCAGCACAGGATTTTGCCTGACTCACTGCCTGTCAGGCTGTCTGCCCTTAACACTGCCAGATTTTCCTACTTAAATCCCCTCTCCTGTCTTTATCCTACTGTGACATACGCCAGAACTTTCGTACAGTTGCTGTTCCTTCTGATATTTTTCAGGATTCATCCCACTCAAACCAGGCTAATGTTTTACAGAAAGGTGTACCCCCTTCTTCCAGCTTGCAGCCAAGGTCAAAGCTGGCAGTTTTAAGCTTTTCTCGTATTTGTTTCCTTCGCCTCTTATTTTTCTTATCAGTTTTTTGTTAGACATTGAAGCCAAAGCTCATCTCCCAAGGTAACAAGAGATAACAGCCATGCCTGGGAGAGCCACGAACAAGAGCTTGGTGGCCAGGAGACCAGCCTGCGCTTATAGCAAAGATGGCTCATTGTGGTCGCCTGAGCCTCGAATGCGACCCAGATGCCTGGTGGAAATTGCATTAGTCGGACGACAGGACCTGGGCCCCTTCTCTGGAGGCTGATGGAGAGCAGCTGAGTGGCCTGGGTGACACCGCCTGACCTCTGCTGTCATCATGGGCTTTGTTCAGCGCCCCGACTCCAGGCTGGAGCCCTTCTCATTGAATCAGGCCTGGCCGAGGGAGTCTGCGACTGGGATCATTGTGCATCTAAATTTATTGACATCAGATGCAGACAGGAGAAACTGGATTTGAGATGGGGGACACCCTGTTCATAGCCCCGGAAACCTCTAGAACTCACTGCTGCACCCCTTTCCTAACTCAGAAAGCTCATCCTGAGGCCAGAGAGTACCCCAAACAATCCCAAAGGTCATGAGCTTTAATAGGCTGCTCCAGGCTTATGTGGATCCTCTTAGCAGGTGAGAGTGGAGAAATGCACCAACCGTGCTTGTCTTCTGTTTTCCCTCCTTCCCCCTTGAACAGTGGTTAGTGAAACTGCCCAAGTTTTCACGGAACATGATTGGCCTCTTTTCCCAAGTATACTTGGAGTAATTAATAACTTTTGATGAGAGTCCCTCTAAAAAAATCATAGTGTGTCTATCAATTAAGTCTACCAAACACTCAGCAAGGGTCTGTCTGTCCTGTGACTAGAAAGTTCTCCTTATGGACCTGTGCCAAGGAAATTGCTGGACAAGTGCCTCTGAAGTACGGGTAGGGAAAGCTGCCTTCCTGTTCCTTTAAATGGCAAATAATTCCATGTCTGTCCAATTATTTGGGATTATATAGCCATCCACACAATTTGATGATAGACAGCCAGTAAAAATGCTGGTGTTGCTGTACTTACTGCAAACAATGTGGACAGATGTTCTCAATATAGTAAGTAAAAATAGTTTATAATAAGCTGTATATTATGAGATCATATTGGTGAAATTTATATGTATTACTCTTAATTGGTAACAGTAGTTATACCTGAGTGGTTAAGTTCTTTTTTTTTTTTGTATTTGAAAGTTTCTATGTGCCCTTTTCAAAATAGTGTGTATGCACTGGTAGGCATGTGTGTGTATGGGCCTTTTATCTACAAAGAAAGTATGAAGGGGTGACTGGTGGCTTAGCCCCACCTCTGCACACCCACCCTTTTCCTCAGTGTCCCCTTTGAAGACGCTTCTGCAGCCCACGTCTGGTCACCACCAGTCCCACTCAGGTCACAGTGTGATTGTCCTAGATAGTCTGCGCACCCTGAAGGCCTGAGGGATCTTTGCAGATTACCCACTGAGGTCCAAGCAGGCTTGAGGTCTGAGTGAAAACCAGTTCATGGTGGGTGTGACCAGAACACAAAAATGAAAACAGCCTGCATAATTCTTAGGGAAAGAAATGAAGGCTCTGGGACGGTTAGACGCCAAGCGGTGGGACTGAGCTGGCTGTGGGACCCCACCCTCTATATCCCTTACCCTCTTCAAAACAACATATTGGTGCCACTCAGTGGTTGATGGGGTGCTGCTGGGACCCCTCTTTTTGGATGGGTTTTTGGAAATGCAGTTTGAATTCATCATGCTTGTCACTAGGACGATCCAGGAGGTCTCCAGGGGTCTCTGGGACTCCAGAATAAGCTGAAGTGGTGATCGGCACCAAAAGTTCCGGTGGTCAGGCTCAGTTCCAATCCCAGATGACAAAGGCAGAGAGCCTGAGCATCAAAGGGCAGCTGAGAGATGGGAGATTGAGTGGTGTTGACCCCGCATGGGGGAGGGGTGCCTTGCGGGGAGGAGGCCAAGGGGTCTTTTCTGGGAGGTGGCGAAACAGAGAATTGGATGCAGTGTGTGCAACAAATAACCCAGCGTCTTGGCTCGTGGCCTGGAGGTGTGAGACCACCCACAGAGCCCGCCTGGTAACCATTTCAGCAAAGGCCAGAGCTCCCAGAACAATGTGAATGCCTGTAGCAGCCCAGGCCTGAGACTAAACAGTCCCCAAACACTTCTGACCCAGCAGCGGAGGCGGCCTCCCAGGGTTTTTGTTATCATAATGAGATGCAGAGAAAGCTGGGCCTCTCTAACGTGGTTTGCCTCCTTTCTTTTTGTTTAGAGACCTGAGTGAAAACCAGATCCAGGGGATCCCGAGGAAGGCATTCCGGGGCATCGCTGACGTGAAGAACCTGTAAGTGTTGTTTTTGTTGTTCTGCTGCACCTGCAGGTCGCTTGGGCTCTGGCCAAAGGGGAGTGAGAGAGAGGGCAGGAGGGCGGTTGAGGCATCTCTGGAGACTGGAGGCTGTGCTTCAGTGTCTTCCAGGACAGCCTCAGAGAGTCCTGGTTCCTCCTTCCTGGTTATTCATCCTCAACCTGGTTCAGAGTTCGGCCTCACCATAGGGGAATGGCGTTGATGAGAGCCAGCTTCTTCTAGTATCATTGTTATTCTCTGTAAAATGGGGAGGGTATTGTATGTGGCAAAGAAAATGTGAAAACCAACAGAAGGCCTGATGGCCTTGTTCATAGTAAGTGTTCAATACATCGGAGCCTCACGATGGTGATGGTGACGGTGATGTTTAAGGCAAGAGTGGTGGCGATGATAGTAGTGCTGCTGTTGGTGATGATCTAAGTACTGCTCACAGGCTCCTCACGATCCCCTACGGGAGTTGCTTCAGCCCTTATTTCCTAAGACTTTGAGGAGATAGAACCAAATCTGTTCCTATGGCATTTGTTTTTGACATTTGGTTTTAAAATCACTGATAGCAGAGAGGTTCAAAAATATGCTACACAGGCCTATGTATCAATTCCCTCAAAGGTAACTGACACCTTACATAACGGTGTCCAATAGCAACTCAGGAAATTCTCATAGGTGCGACCCACAGACCGCTCTGCAGACCTCGCATCTTCCCACTTGCTCTTTTTGTGCACATGTGAGAGCACTGGCCTGGGTGGCTGTGTGTATGTCGTATGGGGAGATTCACGCAACAGCACTCCAGTCCAGAGGCAGGACTGTTCCACCACTGCATTTTTTTTTTCTTGTCTTCTTTTGAGTTTTAGTTCTATGAGCACAAGTTTGCAATACATAACGATGACTTTCATCATAGGAAGTTGGTGTGTATAGAACACTTCATAATTGTTTCCTTCATCAGTCTCCGGAACTGCTGCATAGTAAAACTTAACCAGATCAGCTTGATTCTTCCATCTGACCTCACAGTTTGCTCTTGAGCAGGGAGATTCCTGGGCTCTTGGCTTCAAAGGGGGTGTGCACTGTGCATGTCTACGTGTACCCCTAAGCCCATGCATTCCGAGCATGTTTTTAGAGAGAGGCACAGAAGATGGTCTGATTTGGCTAAGCAAGCACGTCCACCAGCCAGCCTCCTCCACAGCCTCAAATTCAATTGGAAAAGTCTTAAAGCAAACTTTAAAAAAGCTACATTAACTGTCACTTTTCCCCATAACGAATGGAGGGGTTTAGTTTACTGGCATTCTGAAGGGAAGCTGCTGATGGCTTCCAGATGCAAGCTATCTGCCTCCCCTGTGGCTGAGGCCTTAGCGGAAAGCTTTCGGTGTTTAACATGCAGAGCACATGAGAGGGCAGAGGCATGGAGGGTGGGGGTGGAGGAAACAGAAAGGCAGAGGCAGCTTGCGGTGGGGGGCCATAGCCATGCAGCATGTGAGCTCTCTGCAGGGCGAGCATAGGCCTCACTGAAGAACTAACTTCTGGGCAATGGGTTCAGCTTGGAGGTGGAGTGTTTCCCAACACGGGCAAAGTCCTAGGTTTGATCCCCAGAAGTACAAATGAGAAAGGAAGAACTCCCTGACTCTGTGTCCCTCCCCAAGATAACAAGGTACACATACACTTTTAATACCACTAAGTAAAATAATACTGGATACTTTCTCACTGGCTTGACATTTCCAAGTGCTTTTCCTGCATTTTGTTTCTTCGAGTCTAGACACTGAAGGTGCATAAACCAAAACCAACCGATTGTGCTAATTAGCGCTGCAGAAACTTAAGGCAATAGAAAAGTAGAGGCCCAGAGATGGCCTATGACTAACTCAAGGTCAAAGAGTTTCCTGAGGATAAAGTCCAAAATGCATACTTTATATATGTAAAGTGACACATCTGTTGGAGCACAGGATGCTAACTTGTGTGTGATTGTGTATTTGTATGTTCATGCCACTGGGATGGAACTTGCCAAGCACGCTACTGCAGAGCTACACCCCCAGCTCATAAATCAAATTTTAAACAAACCAGTTAAGCAAAAGGTATATCGTGGTGATGTACAGCACGCTGTGTCATCGCCACCTGCACTAGTGACTCACAGTGATTAAGTCTCATGGTGGCTCTCAATAGTTGTTGCATTTTCTTGGGTTGCGAAGTTTTTCCCTTGTAGTGATATCTGTAGCCACACAAAGGTCTCAAGAAGAAAGGCCTAAACGTTCCTAAGCCACTCCAGTAGCTATTCAACTATTTTCAGGTCCACTTTCTAGAAAAGATGTATGAAAATACAGGTCCAGTAGTGCTTCTCAGAAATGCATGGAACCAGAAGTGTTTGAGGTTTAGATTTTTATATTTTTTTCGTGTAATGTTTATATATACATAACCAGATATTATTGCAATGGGATCTACATCTAAATAAATTCATTTGCATTTAATATATACCTTATGACCATAGCTTACAGGTAATTTTATATAATAATTTTATGCATGAAACAAAGATCCCTGGTGTGGAATTTTCCATTTGTCGTGCCATGTTGTCGTTTAAAAAGTCTCCGATTTTTGGATTAAAGATGCTGAACCTACATGCATTATTCAGGAGCTTAAACTCAGCAAGAATCTACTTTTGTTTATTCTAGGACCAACTAGTAGTCCTAGGGAAAGAAAGGAGGCCTCAAGGTAGAATTATGTATTAAAAAAGTAAAAGGGGCTTGAATACTTTGCCCTCTTAATCAGTTTAGTCAGCAGTGAATTGGTGGGTCAGGACGTAGAAGCCCCCAAAAATGTAATTCCTCTTGTCTGGTGGCTCATCACATAACTGGGGACAAGGAACATGTGCACGTAAGGGCAAGTAGCACTTAGCTGAATGCTGGAAACCAGTGATTGTGGACAGTGAGGGGCTGTCGGAGAAGAAAGATTGCTTCAGGCTGTGTAACCTGGAGGTTAGGCATGTTGTCTTGGCACTCTGATGTATGAACTCCATCTGTGATAAATATTGAGTTTGTGACCTTTGGTACGTGTTTTGACCCTTCTGAGCCTAGGTTCCCACCACCGTACCACAAATAATTAGACTGACCTCCTAGGGTTTTTATGGAAGTTAGTAAAATGATGCATAGGAATAACTCAGTACTGTGCTTAATACATGAGATAGCAAGGAAGTTCTAGCTACAGCTGCTGTAAGGTAAACACTTTAGCTGGGCCTGAATGACAATGAGAATTCACAGACTGAAGGAGGCAAATAGTGATCCAGATGGTATCAGGAGTGTTTCAAGGGTATCTTGGGAGAACGGGGAGATTCCGAGGCAGAATGGCTGGTGATACTAGCAGAGAGGCAAAGGCCAGAGGGAGAGATCCTTGCCTGCAAGAAGGAAATGCGGGTGCTGAAGACGCAGATGTCTTCTGACCTGGAACAAGTGGATGAAAACACTTTCTCTTAAGGAAAAACCCAAGGACAAGAGGAGGTGGAAGCAAAGAAGACAGGAGACAAGGGGCTGAATCCAAGGTGAGGGGTCCATGCTCCGTGGATCAGAAGTAAAGAAATGAGGAGTCCAGAGTAGCAACCTACAGGAAGCATATCACTAGATCTTAGTGACCAATAAGGAGGAGTTGGGGTGTGAAATTATCAGGTCCAAGCTTAGATGATATAAAGAGGACAGACGGCTCATCATCAGAGTCATCATGCATGCATCTACCAGAATGCACTTGGGGCTCCCAAGTGCTGTGTCTGGGGAGATCCGTAGAGAATGGCACATATCAACCACAAACTTTGCCTACTTAGAGCCTCCATTCACAGAAACTGGAGGTTTAGGAGGAAGAGTCAGACTTGGAAGACCCAGAGGAAGGTTGTATATTGGGGAGGAAGCTTTGTCCTGGCTTCCATGGGTGGTGTGGACACAGTATCTTCTGTGTGTTAGGAAATCAATGAATTAGCACCTCGTCTCCATGATGTTGACTGAGGAGGTTGTTAAAGTCACACCATGTCCTTGGATCATAGCACCTTTGGTTTCAATGTGAGGAAGTTAGACTAAATTAACCCTACATCCCTAAGAGAAAATGCCACGTGGGTGATTGAAGATGTAGATTTGGAGCTGAGAGCAAATTCATGGAGGGGCAGCATCTTGGCATAAGCAATAATTTGAAGCTGGACATTTAAATAGACATCCAGAGACTGGAGCTATAGCGCAATGGTAAAACACATGATCAGCACAGGCAAAGCCCTGGGTTCAAGTCCCAAGCCCACCCACAAAACAAAAAAGTGTGTCCATCTGTAGGAAATAGGATACGCCCTGCAGAAACTTGGAGAAAAGTCATTAAAGCAGTATTTCTAGCAGAGCTCAGTTATTCACATGGAGATCGTCTGCCTAGTGCACCCTAGATAGCAAATGCTACGGCTCGGGATGCACAGCTCCGCTCTTGGGCTGTTCGAAAACTAAGCCCATCACCCTCTCCATCACTCTGGGTGAGCCTCAAGAATGTAGTGCTATTCTTCTGTCACCTGAAATAGAATAGGAGTGGAGGATAAGTTATTGGAGTACAGCAACAGGCTTAAAACTAACTGATATAGGAAATGACAACTGATGGGAGCAATCCATGCTTTATTGTGAGGAGAAAATTAAGGATTGTCTATTTTTGCAAAATAACTGTATGACGATGACGTGGATAGCCTTCGCACATCCTGACATGTGCCTTTAAGAAGAAACTGTGAAACCCCATTTTCCAGATGGTAAAATTAGTATGTATAGTTTACTAACAGCCAGCACACAAAATTAGCCGTAGATTTCCCACGCAGCCCACCATCAGTATCTCATCCAACCATCTCTGTGCCTCAAGCTGTAGACACCCGGCACACAGCCCTGGACACAGCCCGACACACAGCTCTGTGAATTGCAGGAAGAAGGAGAAAGTGACCGAAGATGCTCCTGGGGAGCCAAGGCCCCAGCCTCCTCCAAGTGACTTTGATCAGATCCAAGAGA